CCCCCCCTCCCCTCCTCCCCAAACACTCGCACAGTCACACACTCTGAGGCTTAAGGTATTATTTTTTTCGTGCGGGGGAACTTTCAATGCAAATAGAAGCCTTTACCAAATAATATAATAATCCGCGCGCCTGTTCTCCTGAATGTGTTCCGAGATGACTTTGCCGCTCTCTCTCTCTCTCTCTCTCTCTCCGCGCTCTCTCTCTCTCTCTCCCGCGCGCGCTCTCTCTCCCTGCTTCCAGAAAATCACCCTAAAAGCACATCTCTTCCACCTTGACCGGATAGTGATGATGATGATAATAATAATAATAATAATAATAATCCTTGCATTTTGACGCAGCTCCTGATCGCACCTTCGAGACGTCTCAAGGCGCTTCACGGTAAAGTGGACCGATTGTGCAGTCTGCGGGCGGGACACGGCGGCCGATCGCGCGCGGCAGCGTCCGCCACGAACACAGTCGTGGGATTGAGGGACCAAAATCCTCATTATATTTTTTTGAAGGGATTAAAACGCTCCCCTCCCTCGCTCATCCGCCCCCGAGCAAATCCCGATCCCCAGCCTGGGCGCTGACTGCATTTCCCTGTCTGTCGGTCTGTCTGTCTGTCTGTCTGTCTGTCTGTCTGTGTTCTTTGTGAAGGGAAGTCTAACTAACCCCAGTAACTGGGATTAGCCGTAACCAGATCAGCTCCACCTGCATACACTGCGCTCAAGTTACACAGACAGTGAGTACCTTCTGGATCACATTCCCACCCCCTCCCTCCCTCCCTCTTGTCCTCTCGATGATCTGCTCCTGGTTTCAGCACACAGACAGACAGACAGACAGACAGACAGACACGTGGTCTCTCCCCGGAGGGAGGCACCCCGCTTACCTAATTCCAGAGAGTATTAGGCGTAGATTTGCAGGAGCTAAGACTCGGTGGGTGGGGGAAAGCCCAGAGTGTACGTTGGGGGTAACTGTTGGGGTCAAACCAACTAAACTCACACACGGCTCGCCATCGAGAGAGGGGGGGAGAGAGAGAGTGCTGTCTGGTCAAGCTTTCCCGCTGCTTGTCCAGCGAGGACCCCCCCCCCCCCCGCCCCTCCCCGTTAGTTAGTTAGAGCTTTGGCTGTGGGGTTAACGAGAGCTGAAGGGGAGGATTCCCTGACCCCGATGACTGGTCGGCCCTTCCAGGTCCTGCCCATGAGCCGGGCCGGGCCGGGCCGGGCCGGGCTGCCGTCAGCGGTGCCCGTCTCAGCGAGCTCCAGGAGCCTGGGGTGGGGGAGAACGGCGGTGGGGGGAGTGTGGGGTGGGGGGGTTTGGGGGGGGGGATAGGATACACAACCTCCTCTTTAAGGAACCCCTCGACTCAGAGACGCAGAGCCCCCAGTTGGGAGCGAAGCTGCCCACGAGGTGACCTTCACGTGGCTCAAGGCAGTCGCTCTCCCCTCAGAGGGTCAAAGCCCCACGTCAGGGCTGAGCGCACAGTCCATACTGATCAATAATAATAATATTAATAATAATAATAATCCCTGCATTTGATACAGCGCCTTATTATGTCTTCAAGACGCTTCACAAGACGTATTGTAAAGTGTAGTGACTGTGTGTTTTGCGGGTGAAAGGCAGCAGGGACCCCACCCCCCCCCTCCCTCCCTCCCCCCCCCACAACATGAGAACCCACCCACCCCCCCTTTCCCCACCTCCGCCACCCCACCAAGTGTCGGCTTAGACGGTGAGCTGACGTTGGGCTCGAACCCACAGCCTCGTGACTCACCGGGTGAGAGAGAGCTCCCGGCTGAGCCAGGCTGACGGATGAGGGGCGGGTGGGGGTGGGGGGCGGGGGCGGGGGCGAGCGAGGCCCAGGATAGACCATGGCAAGGCGCCAGGAACCAGCACAATACCTCCCTGTTCTCCACCGGAGCTGCAGGTGTTAATATTACCTGTTGAGCTGAAACTCGGGCACATACCTGGAGGATGAGAACATCTCCTCTCTGTCCACCTGTCGCTCGGTGACACCCACCAGTGTTTCTCTCACTCACTCACTCACTCACTCACCCGCTCACTCACTCACTCACTCCTCCCAGCAACGTCCCTCACTTAACCCTTTACACTCGGGGGTGGTGGCGGAGGGAGGGGGTTGGAGGGAGGGAGGGTGTGGGGGGGTGTCAGTGAGACTATATAATATTAATAATGACGCCAATAATAATCCTGGCATTTGTTTCAAGCCCGTGCCACGTCTTCGAGACGTCTCAAAGGCCTTCGCGGGATTTTCCTGCAAAGTGTAGTGACTGTGCGCTTGTGCATTGCTTCCCCCAGTCACATCACGAAGAGGGAACGCCGTGTAAGTAAATGCAAGCCGCCTCCTTCAAGGCCCCCTTCGACTGCGCCCCTGGCCATCCTCCTAACATCCCACCCTCCCTGCCCTCCACAACCCCCCCCCCCACCTCCGATCCCGACCCCAGCTCGGGTCCAAATCCCTGACTGTCCAGCGCCTTGGGACGTCCTCCTGACGTGAAACGTGCCGTGTAAATGTTGTGTGTTATCAGCGGACGGGGATCAGGGACAATTGTCTCAGAGACATTATTATTCATCCCAACCCCTGTGGCCAAACCTCTCCCAACATCTCGGTCCAACCACGTGCTCTCACTCACTCTCTCTCTCTCTCTCTCTCTCTCTCTCGTGCTTTCTCCCTTCTCTTTGTCTCCTTTCCCTCTCTCTTGCTGTGTCTCTCCCGCCGTCTCGGACTCCTTCGCTCACTCCGATCTCTTTCTCTCTCTCTCTCTCTCTCTCCACTCACTCGCTCTCTCTTCCCCGGTCACTCTCACTTGTCCCTGTCTCTGCGGAGATCTCCCAAGACTTTCTCAGTGGAAAAAAAAGCCGTATCAACGTAAGCTGTTGTGTCCCCATCTCTCTCTCTCTGTGTGTTTACCTCTTTCTCTCTCTCTCTCTCTCTCTCTGTGTGTTTATGACTTTCTCTCTCTCTCGTTACCCCTTTTCTCGCTCTGTTCATCCCTCTGCCTCTGTTTTCTCTCCGTTAACCTCTCAGCTCTCCGCCTGAGCTGTCAGCACAGCCGACGATGATAATAAAACAATAATCCTTACTCGTGGATTCACATCGAGAAGACGTCTCAAAGCGCTTTGCCCGGATGTCCCGTAAACTCTCGCGGCCGTGTGCTCTGTGGTCCTGTAGCGAAGCATTTGCCTCTCAAGCGGAGAGGACCCAGACTTGAATCCCGTGCGGGCGAAATGTTAGGCGAAGCGTTACTCCGCACTCACGCAACAACACGCGCACACGCAACGCACACGCACGCGCACACGCCTCCGTTTACCAGCAGTAGATTGGAACCTGGAACCTTCAAAGCCCCTCCACGGCCTCGCTCCCCCCCCCCACCCCCCACCTTACCTCTCCGACCTCCTAACCCCCCCCCTGCCCGCTCCCTCCGCTCAGCGGGCTCCGGCCTGCTTCACGTCCCCCGCCTCGCTCGCCCCGCTATCGGCGGGCGGTCCTTCCGCCACTCTGCCCCCCCCACCCTCTGGAACTCCATCCAGCAGTGCCACCCTCCCTCGCCCCCTCCTTCAAGACCCACCTCAAGACCCTCCTCTTCGACCGTGCTTTCGATCTCCCACCCGGACCCCCCCCCCCCCCCCCCTCCAGCTCGGGTCCGCAACTCTGTCTGTCCAGCGCCTTGGGACGTCCTCCTGACGTGAAAGGCGCTCTACCCGTGTAATTTTGCTGTTGTTGTTGTTGTGTTGGCCGAGCCCAGGTGGTTGGAGTTCCCGTTGCCTCCAGCAGGTGGTGGTGAAGCCTCATGGAGGTGGAACGCGGACACCCTCGGCCAACAGTCACTGGGCTCGGCAGTTGGCGAGGGGACCTCGGAGGGTTGGAGGGAGGACACGGGGATCGCACCTGTCCCGGTCCCGGGGAAAGACTGAGTCAGAGAAGGAGATGGTGTGACACAGTGAGGGTGACCCAACGCAGCCTCAGTCACATGTTGTCGCTGACCCGGGGAGGGTGGACGGACGCGTGTAGAGGGCGCTTTACTGCGTCTCTAACCCTGACCCGGGAGTGTAGTGACTGTGTGTTACCGCGCCTCTAACCCTGACCTGGGGCCCTGGGAGCGTGTAGAGGGCGCTTTACTGCGTCTCTAACCCTGACCCGGGAGTGTAGTGACTGTGTGTTACCGCGCCTCTAACCCTGACCTGGGGAGCGTGGACGGACGCGTGTAGAGGGCGCTTTACTGCGTCTCTAACCCTGACCCGGGAGTGTAGTGACTGTGTGTTACCGCGCCTCTAACTGGTGGCGGGGGGGGGGGGGGTAAGTGCGTGCTGGATGGGGGGGTCAATCTGACTCTGTCTCCATGGTGAATCAGACAGAACCTGATCCCTTGAATCTCCCACGGGCTTTGGTACAACCAATGACTGTTCCTGAACCTGATATGAATCTGGAATGTGATCTGGGGGATCTGATTTCTGCCCAGAGAGAGAGAGAGAGAGAGAGACACACACACACACGCACACGCACACACGCACACGCAGGCTGTGTTAGTACCTGGGCTCTCGCTGTGTCTCAGCCTCAGCGATCATGTCCATGTTTAGCTTCGGCTTTACCCAGGAGCAGGTGGCTTGTGTGTGTGAGGTGCTCCAACAAGGAGGGAACATGGACAGGCTGGGGAGGTTCTTGTGGTCACTGCCCGCCTGCGACCACCTCCACAAGAACGAGAGCGTGCTGAAAGCCAAGGCGGCGGTGGCTTTCCATCGGGCCAACTTCCGAGACCTGTACAAGATCCTGGAGTCCCACCACTTCTCCCCCCACAACCACCCACGGCTGCAGCAGCTGTGGCTCAAAGCTCACTACGTGGAAGCCGAGAGGCTGAGGGGCCGGGCGCTGGGGGCCGTGGGCAAGTATCGGGTCCGCAGGAAGTTCCCGCTGCCCAGGACCATCTGGGATGGCGAGGAGACCAGTTACTGCTTCAAGGTGAGTTTGCGTAGAGTTTGAGAAGGTGAGAATTCGCTGGACGGAAGAAGACCATCCAGTTCAAGCCATCGCTTGACATGTCGTGTCCCAAACTATACACTGTATTATCCCCAGATATTATTTTCCAGCAGGAATCGATCTCATTTGTTCTTGAAACAAACAACACTTTCTTCTTCCACCGTCCGTCCGTCCGTCCGTCCGTCTCCCTCCCTCCCTGTTCACTGCGCTCTCTCTCTCTCTCTCTCTCTCTCTCACCGAAGTAGTGCTTCTGCAGATTTGTTCTGGATTTACCCGCCTTCAGTCGTAGTTTTACCACTTTACAGCGTATCCCGTGAAGCGCTTTGAGACGTCTCGAAGACGGGATAAGGCACTGGGTCAAATGCAAGGCTTGTTGTTGTTGCTGTTGTCGTCGTCGCCCGTTGAGTGTAGTGACTATCCGCCCCACCATCAGTGGATGAGCTTTCAGCCGTCCTGACCCGCTTGCCGGAACTCCATCCCAGAGCGGCTGCTCCTTCCCCTCGTTCAAGGCTTGTCTGAAGGCCTACCTCTTTAACCGTGCTTTCGGTTACCTGTCCCCCCCACCGTTCCCCCTCTCCCCCCCCCCCCCCCCCCCCCCCGAGCCCTCTCGTCCTCCTTAGCTGTGGCTTTTCACCCACAAATACACAGTCCAATCACTTCCCAAAATATTCTGTGAAGCGCTTTGAGACGTGTTGAAGACGTGGTAAGACGCTGCATCAAATGCAGGGATTATTAATCATTATGTTAATATTATTATATTATGATATATTATTATTAAATTATTACTACGCGTGGGGAAACTCTTCAGCCTATTTGGGCTCAAGGACATAACACAATAAACTGCCAGGAGGACAAGTCACTGATTTCCCTGTTGGGAGGATTATTGGCCAGGAGCAACTCAGTTCTCTTTCCAGTTGGGAACGTTTAAACATTCCCCCTTGAGCCTCGGTCAACCCTAACCCTAACGTCTCACCTGAAGGACGGCTCAACCAACAAGGCAGCTCTCCCCCGCGTACGGTCATGTGTGAGTCTGGGCGCAAACCGGCTGCCGCCATTTTGCCCACAAAAACAGTCGGGAACACTGGTCGGTAAGTCCCTGGGAAAGGCTTCACCAGGATTTGACGTCCCAGGAGCTTTTACCCGAAGCCAAGACGGTGACGGTGATGGTGACGGTTTCTCTCTTGCCGGTTTCAGGAGCGATCCCGCAGCACCCTGAGGGAGTGGTACCTCCACAACCCCTACCCGTCCCCCCGAGAGAAACGAGAGCTCGCCGAGACCACCGGCCTGACCACCACCCAGGTCAGCAACTGGTTCAAGAACCGCAGACAGAGAGACCGGGCGGCCGAGAGCAAAGAGAGGTAAACCCACCGTGGCTCCATCTGCCCACAAACATAACGCCATCCCAAAACACTCAGCGCAGATGTTTTCAACAGCGTGGAGACCTGTGGCTCGGGGGTTAGAGCCCTCGCCTCGCAAGCGAGAGGACCTGGGCTCGATTATTCCCGATTGAGTCAGGGCGAAACGTTGGGCGAGTTTCCTTACTGCTCACATACACACACACGCAAACACGCAAACACGCGTGCCTCTGTTCACCAGCAGTAAACCCTAAGCGGTCCTTAGTCGATTGGCGGATTGCTATTCCGGTGGTAATATGCCCTTAAAAAATAATACTAATAATGCGGTCACTCAATCCGCGACTGTTTGTGGGACGCTGCTGTGCGCGATTTGCTGCTGTGTTTCGCCCGCAAAACACGCAGTCACTACGCTCAACGGTGTGTCCCGTGAAGCGTCTCTGAGACGCCTCGAAGACGCGATCAGGCGCTGTGTCAAATGCAAGGATTATTATCCTCACGCTTCCACATATTTAGCCCATACAGTAAACGAGTGGGAGTTTATGAATGGATCCATTCAGTGCCTCAATCAATGGGTGCAGCATTCGCAATAAACTCAACCCACGGTATAATTCCGAGAGAGAGAGAGAGAGCGAGAGAGAGAGAGAAAGAGAAAGAGAATGCAGGGAGGCAGAGAGAATTGGAGAGAGCCAGTGAGAGAAGGGGACAGAGAGAGAGAGAGAGAGAGAGAGAGAAATACTGGAGTCCTGTTTTTGAGAGCACTTGGGTATTAGAATAGAGTCACAAGCTGTCCCAATGCTCATCCTGTCAATTGCAAGGGGACTCCTCACCACCACAGTCACTACACGTGAAAGCAGGGCCTGTGAACTTGGGCTTACACAAGGTTGAGTGATCTGATTGAGGGGTTTATATTAATAAAGGGATTTGCTCGGGCGGCTGCAGAGAAACTATCTCCTCTGGTGGGGAATCCAGAACAAGGTGGGCATCCTCTTAGCATTAGAGCCAGGACATTTAGCAGTGAAATCAGGTGGGAATCTCTCTCTCTCTCTCTCTCCGCGCCCCCACACCCCCTCTCTCTCTCTCTCTCTCTCTCTCCCCCCCACCCCCCCCCCCACCCCCACACCCTCTCTCTCTCTCTCCCCCCCAATAGGCTGTGGATTGTGGCTCTGGATCCATTCACATTGTCCAGACTGAGGTGGACACATGTTTTGTCAGGTCAGGGGATCGAGGGATACGGGGCAAAGAGGGGGGTAATTGGAGTTGAGGTACAGATCAGCCGTGAGCTAATGGAATGGCGGAACAGGCTGGAAGGGCTGAATGGCCTCCTCCTGTCCCTATGGGTCCTATGAAGCCATTTGAGACATTTCAGTGGTGTATCGAATGCGAAGATTGTTATTATTATTATTATTAATAATATTATTAATGAATAACTGACGAATATCTGATGTGTATTGCAGGGAGAACGGTGAGAACTCGAACCCTGGCTGTAAACAGCGGGCTGGCTGCTCGGGGCTGAGCTCCGAGCTCCAGCCCTCCCTACACAGCTCGGAGGACGAGGAGGAGATGTCTCCCTCGCACAGCCCTGACCCCCATGGCCTCCTGTACCCCGTAAGCCGGCACAGAGGGTCCGTCACCTCCCTCCTCCCTGCCTCGCTCAGCGGCAGCCTCCAGCCCTCGGAACTGATGCAGGACTCCGTGCTCGGGCCCCTCACAGACAGCCTGACACACTTGGACTCCTGAGCCGCACACCCGCCCGCGCGCCCGCCCGCCCGCCCGCCCCCCCCCAGCTCACAAACCAGGACTCTGCGGGGGACGTGTGCCAGGCCTGGAACACCGCTAACAAACCCACGCACGACCCCAAACACAGCCGTCACAGACACGTTTCAACACAGCCTCGTTAGCTCTTAATACGGTCATAGTGATGACGTCCGCAAACGTTTTGCACACGTAGTGAGTCAACGTCCTAATAAGAGACCGACCGGGGTTCAATTCCCGGGGCAGGGCAAAACCTTGGGCAAGTTTCCTTACTCCGCACACGCACACCCACGCACACGCACACACGCACACACACACGCCTCTGCTTACCGAGCAGTGAGTAGGAACCCGCGTGTTAAGTCGATTGGTGGATCGGTTTTCCGGGGGCAATAAACCCTTGAAAAAACAATAATAATAATGATTATTTGCTCACTTGATGCACGACTGTTTGTGAGGGCGTTGCTGTGCGCGATTGGCTGCCGCGTTTCGCCCACAAAGTAAACAGTCACTACACTTTACGTATATCCTGGGAAGCACTTTGAGACGTCTCGAAGACGTGATGAGGGTCTATATCAAATGCGAGGATTGTTATTATTAATAATATTAATAACGGGTCTCGGCTTCGCTGCTTTGCGGCTGCTTTTCTCTCTCTCTCTCTCTCTCTCTCTTTCTGTCTGTTTTTGTGCCGTTTTTTGGACAAGATGCAATATTTTGAGAAACTTTCCGATCGAAAAAGAATCTGTATTTTCTAATAATAAAATAAAAGAATGATTAAAAAGGAGGTCTTTAATGCGAGCGTTCTCCTCTGCGTGGCCGGAGCCTGGACGCCCCCGCGCAAAAAAAAAAAAACAAAAATAAGCGACGTCAGGACCCACGCTGCACGTGGCGACGGCAGGGGGGGGGGGGGGGGGGGGGGGGGGGGGGGGGGGGGGGGGGGGGGGGGGGGGGGGGGGGGGGGGGGGGGGGGGGGGGGGGGGGGGGGGGGGGGGGGGGGGGGGGGGGGGGGGGGGGGGGGGGGGGGGGGGGGGGGGGGGGGGGGGGGGGGGGGGGGGGGGGGGGGGGGGGGGGGGGGGGGACTGCACAAGCGTGAACTGTTGTTGTCTCGCCCGCAAAATACGTAGTCACTACGCTTTACTGTATGTTCTGTGAAGCGCTTTGAGACGCCTCAAAGACGTGATAAGGCACTGGACCAAACACAAGGCTTATTATTATTATTATTAATATTATTGTGGAGGCAGGTGAGAGCTCTGCCAAGTGAGCCGGGCTGGTACCCGCACCAGGGGGGCACCAGAGCAGTGTTTCAGAGCGTTATAAACGTGGGCATTAGACAGCAATAAAGTCACAATAGCCGTTCATCACATAACCTGTCTGGGCGACAGAAGAGAGAGAGAGCGAGGTGTAAGGTTTCGCCGTCTGGCTGTTTCCCGATCACCTGGACTGTCCATGTGAGGCTGGAATAGCTGCTAATGTGCCTCCAGCGTCCCTTAACGGCCATGAGCAATAATTTCCGCGCAGTCCTGGCATCCCAAGAACACGCGCCAGTACTCGAGGTGTTAAACTCAACTCAGGAGGTGACCGTAAGAACGGTCGAACGGGAAGGTTTTCAGTTGTGAGTTGGAAGAGGAGGAGGAGGAGGAGGACCAGGCAGAGGGATCGAGGGGGAGAGTTCCAGAGTATCGGGGGGCGGGGGGGGGGGTGCAGCGTGGCTGAAAGCGCGGCTGCCAAGGGTGGGGCGGAGGGGACGAGGGACAAGCAGGAGGCCAGAGCCGGCCGAGCGGAGGGGCGGGCAGTGAAGTCGGCGGAGAGCAGGTCAGGGAGGGAGGGAGGGAGGGAGGTCAGAAACCAGGACAGATCCGGTGTTTGAAGACTTTTAATTGATAAGGAAGGAGCTACAAGTCCAGGCCAGGAACTGGGTTGGGGTTGACACTGGTGTTGAGTTTCTCCTCTACGAAGCAGTGATGGGCAGATCCCCAACAAAAACAGTCAATTCTGCGCCCGTCAACGCCATCGCGCCCAAACGAGATGGATGTGAGGTCGGGGAGACTGAGACGGACAAACTCTCCGTCACGCAAGTGATTTCTGTGCGGTCGCGAACACAGACCTTGAAGGTATTTTAGCTGAATTGTTTTTTATTCCTGGGACCAGTGTGAATCACAGCACATTCCTTCGATACAGACGCTTCACGAGGAATCTACGCTGAACGCAAAAATGTACGCATTTCACACATTTACCTTAAATCCCCTTTTTTTAACCAGTTAAAGTCTCCCCCGAGAGCGGGTCCCCACAATCTCCACCCCCCCACCACCCCTTATTTTGATCCCCCAAGTCTCTCTCCTCCTTGCGCTGTCTGCCTTCCCCATCTGTCCCCATCTTTGTACCCAAATCTATCTCCAGCCGTCTCCCCCACCGCCCCCCTCGCTCCCCCCTCTACCCCCCCTCCACCACCCTCCAGTGTCCAGGCCAAGTGCTTCTCCAATAGTGATGTGTATCACTCTGCGACAGAAACTGCCTCGACTCCAAGAGTACAGGATTTATTGTACCTCAGCACTCCCAGCCACAGATAACTCACAAAACACACAAGTCACTACACTTTACAGTGTATCCTGTGAAGCGCTTTGAGACGTCTCGAAGATGTAGTAAAGCGATGCGTCAAATGTGAGTACTATTATTATTATTATTTTTATTATTATTATTAGTGGAGTGACAGAAACTTCACTCTCCGACCCCTCAGTCCAATATACACCACCACGTACACTATCCACCCTTGACCATTGGGCTTTACACAGATATTGGCTCTACATAACGTGCCCTCCACCAGGCAGCACCTACCCAGCAATGTCTACCCACTATGGCAGACAGTACCCGGGGAACAACAAGCACTGCGTACTAAACGCAAACTTCCCTTATTTACACCCCCCCCCCCACCACCCCCAAATCTCTCACGTGTCCAGCTCGTCTCAAACCCCGGGCGGGAATGGGAGAAATCCCAGCTTCAGGCCAAGATGGAGATACGTAAATATCACCATGAGTGCTGGGATGCTCCGGGTGTGAGCTACCGGCTTTCCTCTGAATCCCTGGAATTCTGCAGGGAGGAAAACAATGTTAGACGCAGAGATTAATGCAGGGGAAACCAATACAGCAGCAACAACCACAACCTTTATACAGCCTCACCGTATCCCACAGTGAGCGAGCGTCTCTCTCGCTGTGTACCTCGGAGGCAGTGTCACGGAGCCCAGCTCACCAGCCGTGTGTATTGTAATAAAATAATAATAATCCTGGCGTCTGACACAGACGTCTCAAAGCGCTTCACAGGATACACTGTAAAGTGAATTGACTGTGTGTTTTGTGGGCGAAACACGGCAGCCAATTGCCCAGAGCAGTGTCCCAGAGAGCGATCAAATTGTTATTATTAAGGGATTATTACCCCCGGAAAAGCGATCTGTCAATCGACTAACAACCAACCAGGTTCCTACTTACTGCTGGTAACCCGAGGCACATGTGAGTGTTTGTGGAGTAAGGAAACTTGCCTAATATTTTGCCCTGACCCGGGAATCGAACCCGGGTCCTCTCGCTTGCGAGGCGAGGGCTCTAACCCCTGAGCTACAGGTCTGTGTTTGGGTTACTTACCACGGCTTCGGTCTCCGCTTTCAGCTTTTTGTACATCGTCACGATCAGGTCCCTCCTGAGGCAGAGAACAGGAGCAGTGAGTCTCGTCTCAGGTGCAAAACCCGGGCTCTAATCCACTGACATCCCTTCCGTTCCCAGTGCTGTGCACACATCACCATCGGTGTCCAGGCCTTCAGCCGCTCTCTGGAACTCCATCCCACAGTCCCTTCGCCTCGTCTCTTCCCTCACCTCCTTCAAGACCCGTCTCCATACCTTCCTCTTCGACCGCGCCTTCGGTCACCCTCCTACCCCCACCCTCCTGCCCTCCCGCCCTGTCCAGCACCTTGGGACATCCTCCTGATGTGAAGCAAAAGTTCTGTCCCTCTGATGCTGATACCCGAGCCCTGACCTTGCCCAGCCCACCCCACAGCCCGGCCTCCAGCCAAGTCCCCAAGCCCAGCCCCCAGGCCTCTGCCCTCCGTCCACTCCCCATCCCATACCCCTGCCCAGCCTCTACCCCCATCCAAGCCCCCATCCAGCCCCCTGCCCCCAGGCCCGGCCCTGCCCCCGGCCCAGACCCCAGCCATGGCCCCAGCCCAGCGCCCCCCCGTCCCCAGCCCTGTACTCACTTGCTGCAGAGTCCGGCCCCCGGGGGCAGGTTGGGGAGGTTCTGCTGAGCTAAGTCATGCATCACTCTGAACAGGCTGGCCGAGCCCTGCTCCTCCTCCTCCTCCTGCCTGAAGCTCTCTGGTGAGAGACACCCACACACCGTGTCAGCCGCAAACACTGGGAACGAGCTGATCAGGACCGACTGAGGTATATTTTCCTCTCCTCCACAACCCCTCCCCACCGTTCTCGATGCCCTTCTATTCCAAGGTAATCTTCGAGGCCAAGGACAACCCCAGGCTTCTCTTCACCACTACCAACCGGCTTCTCCATCCGCCCTCTCACACCTCTCCCATCCTCTCCTCCAACTCCAACCGCGAGGAGATGTTGGATTTCCTCCAAAGTAAAATCGAGGGGATGCGATCTGCCGCCTCCGCCCTCCCAACCGCCACCCCCTCCCCATCCCTCTCTCACACTCCGGCCCCTACCCATCCCTCCCTCCGCACCTTTGAACCTGTCTCCACCTCCTCTCTGACCACCACTACAACCCACATGAAGCCCACCACCTGCTCCGTCGACCCCATCCCTACCCATCTCCCTACCTCCCAGCTCCACCTCCTCGGCCCTTTACTCTCAGACCTCGTCAACCTCTCCCTGTCAACTGGCACCTTTCTCATCCCTTTAAAAGCAGCTGTCATTACCCCTATCCTGGAAAAACCTTGCAGCTTAGAGACAGGGTGAAACGCCCTCTACGTTGTGCGTCCACATTCCCAGGTCAGGGTTAGAGACACAGCAAAGCTCCCACTGCACTGCAAATGAGAGTGACTCACTCACAAGTGACCTACCTGTCACTTTCTCCTCGATGTAAGCATTGAGCTCCACCTCTCTCTGAATTGCTTCCTGTGAGACTCCGGGTGCATTGGGGAAACAGAGCAGGATGATGCTCATGTTATCCTGGCTTCCCTGGGATGCAAACAGGGGGAATAATAATAATAATAATAATAATCCTTGCATTTATATCGAATCTTTGAGACGTCTTAAAGCACTTCACAGGATATACCGCAAAGGGCATTCATTGACTCTTTATTTTGTGGGCGAAACACGGCAGCCAATTGCGCACAGCATTGTCCTGTAAGCAGTCGTGGATTGAGTGGCCGAACGACTCCCATTTTTTTTAAGGGATTCTTTAAACGACACCCAGAAAAGTGATCTGCCAATCGACGAACAACTGAGTTCCTATTTACTGCGAGGAAAACAAGAGGCGTGTGTGTGGAGTAAGGAAACTTGCCCAGTGTTTCTCCCTGCCCGAGAACCCTACCCAGGTCCTCTCGCTCGCGAGGTGAGTGCGCTGACCACTACACTACATGGCAGGAATGTTCTGTTAGATTTGACTACAAAACAGATGGTTGAAAGCGTGCAGCCCACACCCCGCCGCCCCCTGTAAGAAGACGCACCGTGCAGCAGTTCTGAGGACCTAGTTTCCCTCCTGACACCCAGAGACACTGAGGCCAGATCGAGCCTCGGCTCTCGAGGCGAGGTTTTGAACCCTTCACCTTCACAGTCTGCCCATTGAGCCAACAGCCAGGGAGCCATTCGGTGCTGCGTATTTCGGGAGAGTTTAGCCCCTCTCTTGCTTCCTTCAAGGGTTCCGTCTAAAGACCTTCCTCTTCGATCGTGCCATTGGCCACCCTCCCACCCCTACCCCTCCTGACCCCAACTTCCAGCTCGGGTCCAAAAAACCCTGATTGTCCAGCGCCCTGGGATGTCTTTCTGATGTGATGGGCGCTATACAAGTGTAGGTTGTTGTGGATGTCACAATGTTCTCGCCCTGACTCAGGCTCAAGGGATGGAATCTAATCCGTTCCCTTTGAGCGGATATAAGCTGTACATCCGTGGGTTTGACCCGCGTCAGCCGTCATCCTCAAGGCAACGTACTACCACCCGAATCCTGCAAAGGGCCGTGCGGTAATCCCAGCGTCTAATATTAACCACAGCAATCGCCTTACACTGACTCCTGAGTCAGTGGATAACCACGGATAAAATGGTCACTTCGCTTCATGTCCCGGTCGCCTTCGTCAGAAAACAAATCCTCCTGGAACGTCCCTCTGGTCTCTCAATCCCTCTGCCTCGCACCACCTCCCGTGTGGATTTAACGTCTCAGAGCACAGAAAAAAACCATTCGGCTCACCAAACCCATTTCCTCCATTGGCACACAGTCACAGACTCAACCCCATCCCTCCCAGCCTGGGAGGCAGTTCTGTCCTGACCCAAACTCCATGAGTCAAATGTCTCCACCCTTTCAGGCAGTGCATTCCAGACCGTAACAACTCTCTGGATGAAAACATTTCTCCTCGTCTCCCCTCTGGTTCTTTTGCCGATTATCTTAAATCCATGTCCCGTGGCTACCGACCAACCCGCCAAAGGGAGAAACAATTTCTCCCTATTTACTCTATCCAATCCCCTCATAATTTTGAACATCTCTATTAAATCTCCCGTGAATCTTCTCTGCTCTAAGGAGAACAATCCCAGCTTCTCTCGTCTCTCTCCACGTAAGTCCCTCATCCCTGGTACCATCCTGGTAAATCTCCTCTGCTCCCTCTCCAAGGCCTTGACATCCTTCCTAAAGTGTGGTGCCCAGAATCGGGCAGAATACTCCATCTGAGGCCTGAACAGTGACTCGCAAAGGTTTAGCAGAACTTCCTCGCTTTTGTACTCTATGCCCCTATTTATAAAGCTCTAGCGACCTGTCCTGCCACCTTCAAAGATCTGCGTATGCGAACCCCGAGGTCTCTCTGCTCCTGAACCCCCTTCAAAACTGTACCATTTAGTGTACGTTGCCTCTCACCTCGTTCTGCCTCACAGCCTGCATCACCTCACACTTCTCTGCATTAAACTTCATCTGCCGCGCGTCTGCCCATTGCACCGGCCTGTCTACGTCCCCCTGCAGTCTGCTACCGTCCTCCTCGCTGTTCCCATTTGTGGGAAAACTCCAGGCTAAGATTAGGCGCAATTTGGGAGCGAGTGAGTGGAGGGTGAAGGTGTGGCCGGTGTGACTCTGTGCCTCTCCTCACCTTGTATAGACAGACGTCGATCACCTGCTTACAGATGTCCTCCAGGTCGGGGGTGAGCTGGAGCCTGGAGCGCACAAACTTACACAGGTCCTCGTTGGTGATGGTGTCCCAGATCCCGTCGCAGGCCAGGATGATGAACTCGTCGCTGTCCGACCTCAGCATCTCGTATACCTCCGGCTCGGGCGACACCAGCTGCTCGGTCTGACCTCTCCACTCCACGGCCTTGAAGTCAAAGTCGCCCAGTGCCCTGGACACGGCCAGGGAGCCGTTGACCCTCTGCCAGGTGACGGTGCCCCCGGCGTTCTGGATGCGCTCCTTCTCCCGGGGTTTGAACGGCTTGTGGTCCTCGGTGTAGAAGCAGACGCTGGAGTTCCGGCTCAGCACGGCTCTCGAGTCCCCGCAGTTGACAAAGTAAAGGTGATGCGGAGACACCATCACGGCCACTGCCGTGGACCCGCTCCGATCCCAGCCGTAAAACCGGGACAAGCTGTGCATGCGGCTGTCGATCTCCAGGAAGCCGGTCCTGATCCCGTTCTTCACGTGATCCATGGTCCTGCCCCGGTCCCCGCCAAAATCCTCATTGCCCGTGATGTAGCCCAGGAGATTCTCGGAGCAATAGTGGGCGACCTTGGAGCCCGCGTGCCCGTCAAACACAGCGTAGAAGGACCAGGCCTGCAGGCCCTTGGGCAGGGCTGGCACGATGGTGTGGGCATCTTCCATCTGTGCCCGCCACCCTTGCATGCTGCTCATTCCGTACCTCAATGCGTTGCCCGAGCCCTGGGTGCCGAATTTCTCAGTTACCGGCTTGTCCAGGTACGGTCCCACCTCGTCACACTGTTCCCCTTTGAAGAAGTAGGAGACCATCTTCTCGGTCTCCTTGGCCACCAGCCTGACAAAGGCCGATAGCTGAGGCACCAGCCGCACAGAGTCGGACGTGCTGTCGTTGCTCATTTTCACGGCTCACGGGGGCTGAGGGTTCCTTCACTTGTCTTCCCTGTAACACACACACAGCCCTGGGTCAGGGCAGAGAGAGCTAACCCTCACACACACACACACACGCGCGCACACACACACAGGCAGCAACTTGCACTTAATCGCTTCAGGACTCTACCCCGTGTGAAGGGTGCTATGTAAACGCAAGTTGTTGTTGTGGCGGCAGTAGAACCTCTCAGGTAGGAGGAATCTTCAAAGGCTTCGAAGAGATCGGGTGGGTCACTGAGCAGAGAGAGAGAGAGAGAGAGAGGAGACGGAAAGCACAGGCGAAAGGGGAGGTTTTCTAGCAGCGATTTGAAGGGAGGGTGACGGGGTGTGCGGCGGAGGGATTTGGGGGGAGAGTGGCAGGTAGTGGGAGCATAGTGACTGAAAGCGAGGACGCTGATCAGACAGCGAAGAGATGCAGAGCTGTCCCACACGCACAAGGAAAGAGGAGAGACAGACACGAGAGGCAGTCAGTCAGTCACCAGCTGCACTGACTCAAGCCCCGGGTGCTCAGAAGGCTAATCCACAGCTATCTTTACCCCAGTAATCCCTCAATCTTAATCCCATCGCTCCACAGAGGGCTTCCTGCTACACGATTGCCATCCAGGACAGGAGCCCATTTCCTTCCCCGTGTCCTGTAACCGCGACGCGCAGCACAATCTTACACCATCTCTCCTTATCACTCTCTCAAACTACTTCACGTGAGTTGCTTCGAAAGTCAGGACTGAACAACTTTCCTTAGTCCACGCACGCACTCACACGCACACACACACACACACTCACACGCACACACGCACACTCACACACACGCACACACTCACACGCACACTCACTCACACACTCACACGCACACACTCACACGCACACTCACGCACACTCACACACTCACACGCACACTCACGCACACTCACACGCACACTCACACACACTCACACACACTCACACACACTCACACGCACTCGCACTCACACACTCACACGCACACTCACGCACACTCACACACACTCACACACACGCACACTCACACACACTCACACTCACACGCACACACTCACACGCACACTCACACACACTCACACACTCACACGCACACTCACGCACACTCACACACACGCACACACACACTCACACGCACACACTCACACGCACACTCACACACACGCACACACTCACACTCACACACACTCACACGCACACACGCACACTCACACACTCACACACACTCACACGCACACACTCACACGCACACACACTCACACGCACACACTCACACACGCACACTCACACGCACACTCACACGCACACGCGCGCCTCTGTGTACCGACAGTAACTGGGAAGTCGTCTGTTGGTTGATTAGCGGATCGCTTTCCGGGCGTAATAATCCCCTTCAGAGAAAAGAATAATTTGGTCACCTCAAGTGGGGCCGCCGCCGGGCGCAATCGGCTGCCGGTTCCGCCCGCAAAAATCCCCCGTCAATCCGCTTCTGCGAAGCGCTTTGAGACGCCTCGGAAGACGTGGTCGGGGGCTGCGTCCAAGTGCTATTCGAAGTGCAGGATCCCCGCTGGTGTATGTAGGGCGATGCAGAAGGCGGCCCTCCCGCACGCGCCCAGAGATAGGATCGCTCCTACTGTCTCTCCTCTTTCATTCTCCTCCTCCCGTCGCTCGCGTTTCCCGACATCTCTCCTCCCCCTCTTCGTGGAGTCCTGTGGCTCAGTGGTTAGAGCACTCGCTTTGCAAGTGAGAGACCTGAGTTCAATCCCAGGCAGAGGGCGAAACCTCGGGCAAGTTTCCTTACCCCACACAGAGCCTAATAATAATCCCTCCAGAAAAAAAACAATAATTAAATTGGTCATTTTCAATCTACGACTGTTTGTGGGACATTGCTGTGCGCAATTGGCTGCCGCGTTCGCCCACAAATATACAGTCGATTCACTTTACAGTGTGTTCTGTGAAGCGCTTTGGGACGTCCTCTCCCGACGTGAAAAGCGCTATATCAAAAGCGAGGATTATTATTATTATTATTTGTGTGTGTGTTTTTTTCTCTCTCACTCTTCCTAATTCTCTCCCTGTCCTTTTCTCTCTCTCTCTCCCTCTCTCTCTCTCTCTCCCCCCTCCCCCTCCCCCCCATCTCTTTCTCTCCCTCTTTCGCTCGCTCCGGTTTTAAAAAACCCATTCGACATTTTCCCCCTTTTCCGTTTACACGTTTGATCCGCTCTTCGCCCACAAGACACACAGTGAACGCCCCCCTTCCCCGCACAGTGCGTCCTGTGAGGCGCTTCGAGACGGCTCGTGGAGACGCGCTCGGGCGCCGGATGGAGTGCAAGGGTCATTATTTTTAATAATATGCTAACATTCTCTGCCTTGTGGAGTCCTGTAGCTCAGTGGTTAGAGCACTCGCTTTGCAAGTGAGAGACCTGAGTTCAGTTCCAGACAGAGGGCGAAACCTCGGGCAAGTTTCCTTACTCCACACAGAGCCTAATAATAATCCCTCCAAAAAACCAAAAACAATAATTAAATTGGTCATTTTCAATCTACGACTGTTTGTGGGACATTGCTGTGCGCAATTGGCTGCCGCGTTCGCCCACAAATATACAGTCAATTCACTTTACAGTGTGTTCTGTGAAACGCTTTGGGACGTCCTCCCGACGTGAAAAGCGCTATATCAAATGCAAGGATTATTATTATTATTATTATTATTGTGACAACAGTCCTCCGGCTCGGCTCTTCTCTGTCCCTCGTCCGTCTATCTTCCCTCTGTTGTCTCCACCTCCCTTTCTCTTCCTTCCCCTCTTCCTGTTCTTTGCTCCATCCCCCCACCCCCCACACCCCCCCCATCCTCCCCGGAGAGCGGAGCAGACCGGCAGCAGGAGCAGGAATCACAGCTCTACACAATGAAGGGTTGCCGGCAGCTGCCTCCGTCTGTACGGTGACCTGAGCCACTGAGCCACTGAGCGCGATCCACGGGAACCAGACTCCACCTGGATGGGCCCCCAGAGCTGGACGGGCGGTGCCATGGGCCAGGTGCTGGCGTTTGGGCATTGCAGTACGTTTTTGCACATCCATTTACTGACCACGCTTCAGCCCCGCTCGCTCTCTCTCTCTCTCTCTCCCCGACAGACCGAGCCGCCGGCGTATCAGGACCGAAAAGAAACCACCTCCGAGCATCCAGCAGAGAAAAAAAAAACCCCCACCACCCCTTCCCCTCCAACCGAGCCTTGCGGGTCTGAGAGAGAGAGAGAGAGAGAGAGACGGGGCAAGATGTTGAGCAGCAGAGACAATGTACAAGTGTGGCTGCTTTGTGTAACTGGGCGTGTGCCTGTAATTGTGCTGTGTGCAACCGTTCGCTGTGTGCGTGTGTGTGTGCCTGTAACCGTGTGCCGAATGAATTGTGCGCGGCGTGTGTCTTTCATGGGGGCCGTGTGTGCCCACGAGACCCCCTTGACCGTCCAGCGCCCTGGGACGTCCTCCTGACGCGAACGGGGGCCCCCCCCACGTACAGGTGGAATCTGATGCTGCTGTTGCGAGTCAGGACCGTTTGCCGTGTACTCACACGCACCGTAGGCGTGCGCGGCCACGTTTTGGAGTGTGTGCAACGGTGCGTTGTGTGCGTAACCGCGTGCCGTGGGTATGTACAATGGTGTATGCGTGCAACTGCTGTGTGTGCAATAGTGTGCTGCGTGTGTGTTAATTGTGCCCCCGGCTCCACTGGCTCCCCCCCCCCCCCCCAGAGGATAGAGCCCCAAATCCCTCCACGGCCCTCGCTCCTCCCTACCTCCGTGACCTGCTAACCTCATGTCCAGTCCACTCCCTCCGCTCAGCAGGCTCTGGCCTGTTCCACTTCACCCCCCCCCCCCGCCCGGCGTGCCCCACCATCGACGGACGGGCCTTCAGCCTCTCTGCCCCCCACCCCCCACCCCCCCCCCCCCCTCACCCAGCCTTTGGTTTCGAGACTCTCTCAAGCACGGGTGACGGGTTTCCGTGCGTGTCCGACACCCGGCTGACCGAACCCCAAAAGTGCTCGGATCAGCGATATGTAATAAATTGTGCTGCCGCGTTTACCTGTGACGCTCTCGGCCCTGGGTTCCATGCGGCGACGCTCTCCTGGTCCACTGTGCAGCGCCTTGGGACGTCCTCCTGACGTGAAAGGCGCTTTATAAATGGAATCTTGTTGTTGTTGTTGTTGCGTGGATCCAACAACAACAACAACAACTCGCACTCACACAACGCCCTTCACGCGGGGTGGCCTCCCGGAGGTGGTCAAATCTGCCCCCCCGAGCCAGGGGGAGAGGGAGGGCGGGGGTGCGGGGGGGGTGGACGGGATGAGGTGACCATAAGCACCGTCAAAAAAGGTCTTTAGGTGGGATTTGGAAGTGCGGAGGGGAGGGGGGGGGGCGGCGGTGGGGGGGGGAGGCGGAGGGATTGAGGGAGAGAGTTCCAGAGGTTGATAAGCTCTGTCGGAACCAGAACTGTGAGCGTGAGACTGAGTTCAGTGACAAGTTTGCACAGGAGAGGGAGGCATTGAGTTTCTTGTTGCTTCGCTTCGCTTCGCTGTCAATGAGGAGTCGCTGTCACGGGCAGCGGGTGTGAGACCTGCCCCCGTTCGAAACCGTTACACGTCACTGCGTGTGTGTCACCCGGACCGGAGCAGCGCGTCACGTGTGAGCACGTGCGGAGCGGGTGAGCTGCGCGCCTCTGCTGATGTGATGGAATAACTGCTGCTGTGTTTCCGTTAGAAGAATCTGCCTCAACCGTCTCCACCACTCCTGACTCCACGCCCTCCTCCACCGAAGGTGAGCCCCACACGCTAACCCTCTGCCCTCCCCACAGTCACTACGCCTCCTTGCCTCCCCTGCCCCGGGTTCTGAATGGGTAACAATGATAATAACAATAATAATAACCCTTGCATTTGGTATGGCGCCTTATCACGTCTTCAAGGCGTCTTAAAGCGCTTCACAGAATGTACTGTAAAGTGTAGTGACTGTGTATTTTATGGGCGAAACAAGGCAGCCAACTGCGCCCCCAGCGACGCTATGACAAAGAAAGGCTTGTGATTGCTGTAACCGCCACGGTGGCTGCTCTCTCCTGGCGCAGGGGTGAATGAGGACTCGGATTTCCCGGACCCCGGGACCCCCCAGGAGTTTTCGGAGGAGGACGAAGAGACGGACAGCCTGCTGGATTGGCGGATGACCGCGATGTGGACGGAGCCCGGGGCTGGGAGCAGGAGGGACCTGAGCGGAGCCTTGGTCAGGACGGAGACCATCGAGACGCTGTTAGCAGAGGACGACGGCTGCTCCAGTTTGATGGAGACCCAGTGCGTGGCAGGTGCCCCGGGTATCAGAGAGGTGCCCTCAGCCCAGGAGTGGAGGCAGGAGGCAGGGGGGCATCCACAGCCTCAGGCAACGTGTGAGCCACACCCTCCTGCTTCAGACTCAGGTAAAGGTGTGGGGAGGATGGGGTGGGGGGGGAAGGAGGTGTGCGTGTGGGTAAGTGCGTGTGGGCGGAGGTGTGTGTGTGTGTGTGTGTGGGAGAGGTGGTGTACGTGGGGGTGGGAGAAAGTGGGTGTGTGTGGGTGTGGGTGTGGGGGGGGGGAGGAAGGGGTGTAAGGTGTACCTGTTGGCTTTGGGGCGATTGAGAAACTAGATTGTGTGACTTCCCTCTGATAGGGAGATTTGGCCTTAATCGGAAAATATTTCCTCGGTGTAAACATGTGAAACATCCTCCCACAGAGGGTGAGGAGGCAACGACGACAACAAATTACATTTACACAGCCACTTTCACGTCAGAAGGCGCTGGACAGTCAGGGATTTGGACCTGAGCTGATGGATGGGATCGAGGGGGCGGGGGGGTGGGGGGGGAAGGGGTTGGAGGATGGCTGAAGGCGAGGTCGAAAAGGAGGGTCTTGAAGAAGGTAAGGGAGGGGGGGGCGAGGTGGAGGTCCTATCGATTGGGAATACGTTAAAGGGTGCGGAGAGAATAATAATAATAATCCTCGCGTTTGATGCAGCGCCGCATTCATTCGAGACGTCTCAAAGCGCTTCACGGGATACACTAACATGTGAAACAACGACGGGGAGAGCTGCGAAAACTCGGCAGGTCGGGAAAGACAGTGAGTCAACTCTTTTGCCCCTCTCCGGTGTGTTTGCCCGTTCCGCACCTCTTCACCCCGGTTTTGTTTCAACCCCCTTGTCCTGCCTCCCCCTCTCCCTCTCAACGTGTCCTTAAAACCCTCTCCCTCCCGACATGCCGCAGTTCTGACGAAGGGTCGGGGGCCCGAAACGCTCTCCGTAGACCCTGCCCGACCTGCTGGGTTGTCCCTGCCCTCTCTGTGTTTGTTTGAGATTTCCAGCATCTGCAGCGTTTTGTGTTTTGGTTACTGTGAAGCGTAGTGACTGTGTATTTGGTGGGCGAAACGTGGGTGGGGCCAAAAAGCCAGGGAGATAAGGTTGAAAGGTTGACCGTGGTCAACCGCAGGATCCTCGCACTCGGGTTCAAATTCATTCACTCCCTGGCACCTCCCCTACCTCCCCCTCCGACCTCCTCACTCCCCAATCCACCACCCGCCGCCTCCCCTCGACTGGCACCGGCCTCCTGCTCGTCCCTCTCACCCTCCGCGCGCAGCCCCCCCCCCCCCCCCCACCCACCGCCATCGGAGGTCGTGCTTTCAGCCGCTGCGCACCGAAACTCTGGAACACTGTCCCTCAATCCCTCCGCCTTGACTCCTCTCTCCCCTCTTTCAAGTCCGGCCTGAAAACTTTCCTCTTCGACTGTGCTTACGGCCACCTCAACCCCCCCTACCTCAATCCCCCTACCTCCCCCCCCCCCCCCCCCGGCTCGGAGTCAGGCTCCGCCACTGTTAAGCTCTGGGATGCTGTATAAGTGGAGGTTGTTGTTGTTGAGTGGCCCCCCCTCTGTTCCTATGACACTGGGCCGAATTTGAACGCAGTATCCGGTCTAACTCGCTGCTGGGGGGGGGGGGGGGGCGCTGCTTATTTTAATTCCAGAATCTGAAGCCCCTTTGGGCGAGAGACACGGCCTTGAGACAGAGGCAGCAGGGGCAGACAGCCTGCAGGCAGAGAGCGTCTGCGGCGAGAAGAGCGACGCGCAGACGGAGGCAGTCTCGCGGGGGAGACAGGACCCGCAGAGAGAGGGCGCGTCAGAGGACAGAAGCGGCCGGCGCGCAGAGAGCCCGTCGGAGGAGAGGGGCGGCGAGCAGGCAGAGCGAGTCTCGGGCAGCAGGCGCAGCGTGGGCACAGAGTGCGTCGCTGGTGAAAGGCAGAGCGTGCAGACAGAGCCGGTCCTGGAGGGGAGAGAGAGCCCACAGAGTGAGCCAGTCTCAGATGAGGGTCTGCAGCCGGGGGGAGATCCAGCCACAAGCCGGAGCCAGGAGCCAGGCCTGTGGGGGTACCCGGAGTGTCAGTTGATGGCGACGCCGATTACCAGCCGGACCCAGGAGCTGGATGTGAGGCAGCGAGACGTGCCCGAGACGCAGAGGTTGCAGCGAGTCCATTTGCTACGGAGTTTTGTGGCGATACCTCAATCAGGTAACTGTTCATTCCCACCAGCGGCAGCTTCAACCGGACTTGGTTTCTATTTTTCTTTCTGCTCTTCAAGGCCAATATAACAGCAAGGGAGGACGGAATCACACTAGTCGGCCATTACTGCGTATATCCAGCCTCCTGTTTGTCCCTCGTCCCCTCCGCTCCACTATCTGTGGCCGAGGTTTGGGGGCTGGGGATGGGGGTTGGGGGCTGGAGGGTGGAGACGGGGCTGGGATTTGGGGGCTGGAGATGGGGTTGGGGATGGGAATGAGGGTTGGGGGCTGGAGATGGGGTTGGGGCTGGAGGAAGGATGGGGTTGGGGTGAAGATGGGTTGGAGATGGGGTTGGGGCTGGAGGATAGGGATGGGGGTGGGGCTGAAGATGGGGTGGAGATGGGGGTTGGGGCTGGAGGATAGGGATGGGGGTTGGGGCCTGAAGATGGAGGTTGGAGATGGGGGTTGGGGCTGGAGGATAGGGATGGGGGTTGGGGCCTGAAGATGGGGTTGGAGATGGGGTTGGGGCTGGAGGATAGGGATGGGGGTTGGGGCCTGAAGATGGCGGTTGGGGGTTGGGGATGGAGGTTGGAGATGGGGCTGGGGTTGGAGATGGGGCTGGGGGTTGGAGATGGGGCTGGGGGTTGGAGATGGGGCTGGGGGTTGGAGATGGGGCTGGGGGTTGGAGATGGGGCTGGGGGTTGGAGATGGGGCTGGGGGTTGGAGATGGGGCTGGGGGTTGGAGATGGAGTTGGGGGCTGGAGATGGGGATGGGGGAGAGGATTACGTGGTGAGATTCTGAGGTGTTGGATCCTCTCAGGCTGTGACTCACTGGTCCTGATGCTGAGCTCAATCATTCCCAGCACTGACTCATCTGTGTTCTCATGGTTACTGACAGTGTCAGAGCAAACTGGGGATGGATAATTAATGAGATGAGGGGGGGGGGACATCCGCTAACAGAAACCACTGTGAAAATACTACCACTACTAATAATAATCCTTGCATTTGATACAGCGCCTCATCGCGTCTTCGAGTCGTCTCAAAGCGCTTCACAGGATATATTCTAATGTGAACTGACCGTATATTTTGTGGGGGGGGGGGGGGTAACACGGCAGCCCGTTGCGCACGCACAGCAGCGTCCCACCAAGTCATGGATTGAGTCGCCAAATTGTTTTTAAAAAAAAAAGTTTAAAATGGTCATTTTTCAGGGATTATTATCCCCGGAAGGAAACGTGATGCGCCAAACGACTAACAACCGGGTTTCCCACTTACTGCTGCGGAAGCAGAGGTGTGTGTGTGTGTGTGTGTGTGTGTGTGAGCGCGTGAGTGGAGTAAGGAAACTCGCCTAAGCTTTCGCCCCCATGACCCCGACCCGGAATCGAACCGGGGTCCTATCGCTTTCGAGGCGAGGGCTGTAACCGCTGCGCTGCAGGGCTCTGGCCGTGGAAGGGTTACAGGGCAATGCGATTTCCTTGGATGGTGAAGGGCGTTACTGTGGGAAGCTCCATCCCTCCTTTGATTGGCGGGGGCACACACTGCAGCATCTCGCTGGTACTGTCGCCAGAGTGGGGTGCGGAGAGCGCTGAGCTTCCCGCGTAACCACACTGACTGATGGAGCCCAGGTCTGAGTGCCCAGGGATGGAGAGCGTCTGGAGTCGCTTCTGCTGCAGAGAGACGGGTAGGAGAGAAGCTGTTCCGCTGCGTGCTGTCTACGCCCGTGTTACTCCTCGGGAACAGCCTCGCTCTTATCAACGAGAGAGGAGGAGAGAGAGAGACACACACACACACACGTACACACGCACACACACACATACAGAGAAAGGGAGGGAATGAAAGATTTGGAGGAGAGTGGGAGAGGAATCGAAGGGAGTGGGAATGGGAGAGGAGAGGAGAGGAAAGCAGGGGGGGGGGGGGAGTGGCAAGGGGGAGAGGGCGCAGACAAAAGACTGCCTGCAACAAAGAGAGGGACTGTGACGGAGGCACGGAAGCATAGAGCGGGGAGACGGAGACAAAGGGAGAGCGGGAGCAGGGCCGGCTGGGCAAGCGAGCAGCAGCGAGAGAGAGAGAGAGAGAGAGAGAGGGAGAGAGGGAGAGAGGGGGGGAGAGAGAGACGGAAAGACAAAAGAGACGAGAGATCGGTTGCGGAGAGCTCATCTGTCGCGATCCCGGAGCGTTGAGAGGGGAAGCCACGCAGGGAGTAACAGGTCACAGGCAGCCGGACAGCCGCCTCGTCGTCCCCCCCCCCCCCCCCCCACCCCCCTTTATGAGAGCCCGGGGAGCGAGACAAAGATGCACGAGACAAGAGCCGGAGAGAGAAAGGGAGAGCAAACGCACAGACGCTGCAACACGCCCACAGACTGCGGACGCACCCTTCTCCTATGGCTCACAGCCACAGGTCAATGCTACGGAGGATTCCCCGGAAAAAAAAAAACACCTTCACGCGCCGACTCCGACAGCCTTATGATAATAATAAGAGTAATCTGTGCATTCGATACGGCGACGTCTGCAAGCTCTTCACAACGTACACTGCGAAGCGTAGTGACTGTGCGTTCTGCGGGCGAAACAGGCCTTACTTCGAGATCCACTGCTTGACCCTCCATGCAGTGACAATCCTAGCCAACGCCTGAAGCCCCCCACCGCCGCCCCCCCGCCCACCACCCACTCCCCCACCCACACTGGCCCCTAGGGTAGCGTCGCCTGGGTTTGTTGTTTTTAAAAAAAATAAACCTACTTCTAAATCAAGACTGATTTGAAGAATTTTCCACAATGTTAATAATAATAATAATAATAATAATAAATAATAATAATAATAATAATAATAATAATCCTGGCATTTGAAACATCTTCGAAACGTCTGAAAGCGCTTCGCGGGATACACTGTAAAGCGAATCGACTGTACATTTTGTGGGCGAAACTGCGCCCGGCGACGTCCCCCCCCACAAACGGGCCGTGGGTTGGGTGACCCAAATTATTATTTATAAAAATGTACTTTTGTTTGGAAGGGATTATTACCCGAGGGAAAGCCATCCCGCCAATCGACTTAACGAGCAGGTTCCACTTACCGCTAGGTACGCGGAGGCGGGTGCGCGCGCGTGTGCGCGGAGTAAGGAAACTTGCCCGCGGTTTCGCCCTGACCCGGCTGGGATTCGGACCCAGGTCCTCTCGCTCGGGAGCGAGGCGAGTGCTCTCACCGCGACGCCGCAGGACTTAATTTGTCAGGACTACAGTCTGAGCCGAGGTGGACTGCTGGGCTTCTCGAGAGGCTGCAGAACCCAATGGGTTAACGGTGCTATGTGCTGCGAGTGCAGTTGGCGGGTGGCACCTCACACGCTGACGGCCGCTGCCGGGGGAAGGGAGAGAAGGGGGCCGTGAGCTCTTCTCGGGGACTCTCACAGAATGGGGTGGAAAGGTCAGATATGAATCCTTTTTAATTTAATTTCAGTCCTTGTGCGGAAAGGCTGAGCCGGGAGACACGGGGCAGGGGAGTGGGGTGGGGTGGGGAGTGGGGAGTGGGGGTGGGTGGGGAGTGGGGAGGGCATAACGTTAAGAGAGTAACGTTATGTGTGTTGTGCGCGGAAAGTCCAGGCGCTGAACTTCACCAGCTGAGAGCGAGAGGGAGAGAGAGAGAGAGAGAGAGAGAGTGTCCGTTCGAGCTCTGAAACGGCCTCAGCCCTGCCTGACCCCCCGAGCCCTGGTGGGGTGGGGCGGTGGGGTAGGGGGGGGGGCACCAGCACCGCCTGCTGCTTGACAGTTACTTTATTGTGTCCCGTGTTTCTGGAGGGGCAGCGAGCTATTCCCGCGGCCAAGTGTGTTAACCCAGCTCCGTGCCGCCGTGGCTGGCAGACGTGCGGCGCGGTGCGGCGCGGTGCTGTTTGCAGGTTGCCGTCCGTGACCCTCCGAGCTGCTCGCTCGCCTCGTGCAATACGATCCGGCCTCAGCTGTTATGTCGGCACCCCAGTTGCTCCATCGGCCTAAACATAGCCTGAGCAAAATGCTTGGAGCTTCTCGGAGACCCTACAGAAGTGGGTGTCTCACAGGGGACGGCGAGAGAGAGGGAGAGAGAGAGAGAGAGAGAGGGGACCAGCTACGACAAGCAAATAGAGCGACACCGTTATTATTATTATTATTATTTTTTCGCCCAGGCCGGGTGTCTCGACGCGCGCGGAAGCCCATCACCGTTGCTTAAGGGTCTCCAAACCCAACGTGAGATTTCCCTGCGTCCCACCTACGTATGGAAATCCCAGAGATAGATTGTTGGAATGGAATGCGCTCTCTCTCTCTCTCTCTCCCTCTCTCCCTGGAGAGACACATCCTGTTCACCTAATTCTGGAGAGCACTGGGCGCAAGTTGGCAAGAGCCAAGACTTGGGGAGAGCCCAGAGTGTGCGTTGGGGCATCCGGCTAAAGCCTCACAGCTTGTCATTGATATCACTGTCTGGCCAGCTTTCCCGTTGCTTGTCCAGCTGGGACCACCCGACCCGTTAGGGCTTTGGCCTGGAGGGTTAAACAGGAGCTGAGGGGGATGATTCCCTGCCTTCAGTGACAGCTCGACCCTTCCAGGTCCTGCCGATGAGCTGGGCTGGGCTGGGCTGGGCTGGGCTGGGCCGGGCTGTGCTGTAATCAGCAGTGCCCTGGAATACCGCCCACCCACCCGGCTCAGGACCAGGACGAGAAACCGTCACCGAGGGCTGGCTCGATTACGGCATCCCACTTCCAAACATGTCACCTTGGGGCCAATTCAGCTCCGAGGAGACCCCGCTTACCAGAAAACGCTTCTTCGCACGTGGGCCGATGAGAATGAGGAACACGCTAGCACCCGACGGCTGTACCAGCAAAGAACATTGGGGCGTTTAAAAGGGAGGGAGGGAGGGAGCGAGGGAGATACATGGGATACAGGTTTTAAGGGATGTGGAGAAAAAGCGAGGAAATGGGATTCTAAGATCCGTCATGGTCTAATAAACTGAATGGCCTGCAACTGTTCCTATGTTCCTACAAGAGGCATTGGGAATGGGCATGACAAAACAACAACAACAAATGACATTTACACGGCACCTTTTACGTCAGGAGGACCTCCCAAGGTGCTGGGCAGTCACCCGAGCCGTTGGTTGGGATGGGGGGGGGGGGGGGGAGGTGGAGGGCAGGGCCAGGCTAAGTGGAAGAGTGGAAGAGCGTGTGCTTGAATGGAGAGGTCACAAATTACACAGTGCTTTGAGACGTCTCGAAGATGTGATGAGGCGCTGTATAAAATGCACTGTATAAGGATTTCCTGAAAAAGCTGATTTTAGCCGAAATCCAGGTTTGGGACTAGCGATATGGCTGAACCTGTTCTGATTCTGCCTCTAACCCTCTCTCTCTCTCTCTCTCTGTCTCCAGTCACTGACCTGCTGTACTGGGAAGATGTGAAGAAGACAGGAAGCGTCTTTGGAGCCATCATCCTGGTGATGTTCTCCCTCACCCAGTTCAGTAGCATCAGTGTCCTTGCGTACCTAACCCTCTCCATCCTCTCTGTCACCATCAGCCTCCGCGTCTACACCTCGGTGCTGCATCTGGTCTACAAAACCCAGGAGAGACACCCTTTCCAGTGAGTGACGTACAGCAATTCAGTGTGAAGGGTTTTGACACATTTCCTCCACGGTCTTGTTCCCGCTACCTCTGTGACCCTCTTCCTCGACCGGGCCTTCGGTCACCCTCCTCCTCCTCCTTCCCTCCTCGCCCTCCAACCCCCTCCAGATAGTTTTTAAGTGGAATACATAAGTAATAATAATAATTATAACCCTTGCATTTGATAAAGCGCCTTATCACGTCTTCGAGAACATACTGTAGAATGCAGTGACTGTGTATTTTGTCGGTTGGTTCGCAACAGATCGTTTCTGCTCAAACATAAACCTTTGCGGGTCCCCCACAGGGTGTATCTCGACATGGACATCACGCTGTCCCAGGAACAGCTACGGAAATACACGGAGACGCTGCTGCTCTATATAACCAGCAGCATCAACCACCTTCGGCGTCTCTTCCTAGTCCAGCACCTCCTGGAGTCTCTGAAGGTAATCGGTCTTCTGTTTTATTCAGTCCCGATAAAGAACTGGAGGGGTGACCAGGAGATGTTATTTTTGCCTGGGGAGTTGTTACGGTCTGGTACGCGCTGCCTGAAATAGCGGTGGAGACCGATTCGGTGACAGCTTTCAGAAGCGAGTTGGATAGGTACTTGAAAAGGAACAATGTGCAGGGCTCTGGGGTAAAAGCGGGGGGAGTGGGACTGGTTGATGGCTCTTTCGAAAGAGCCGGCACCCGCACAATGGGCCGAATGGCCTCCTTCTGTGCTGTAATCTATGATTCTATGTGGGAGAGATGGGCCAGACACTAGTAACAGCATGGCCTCGATTTCGCTCCTACCCCCCAGTGCTGCTCTACCTCACACAACATGTTTCCGATCTGACGCTACCTTCTTTCTCTCTCTCCCGGTCTCTCACTCTTTCTCTCTCTTCCCCACCCCTCTCTCTCTCCCTGTCTCTCACTCTCTCTCTCTCTCTCTCTCGCCTTGTCTCTCTCTCTCACTCTCTCTCTCACAGTTTGGGGTCTTGCTGTGGTTAATGACCTACATTGGAGCCGTGTTTAATGGACTCACAATCGTCATTCTGGGTAATGTATACTCATCGTATCAATCTCTGCAGTTCAGTTAGCGAGTTACCCTGTAATTACAGGCAGTGGGTACACACACACTGCAGCCCGCAGAGACTGACATATTTTTTGATTAATTGTGTTTGGAGTGGAGTCCTGTAGCTCAGTGGTTAGAGCACTCGCTTTGCAAGTGAGAGACCGGAGTTCAATTCCAGGCAGAGGGCGAAACCTCGGGCAAGTTTCCTTACTCCACACAGAGCCTAATAATAATCCCTCCAAAACCAAAAACAATAATAAATTGGTCATTTTCAATCTACGACTGTTTGTGGGACATTGCTGTGTGCAATTGGCTGCCGCGTTCGCCCACAAATATACAGTCAATTCACTTTACAGTGTGTTCTGTGAAGCGCTCTGGGACGTCCTCCCGACGTGAAAAGCGCTATATCAAATGCAAGGATTATTATTATTATTATTATTTGACATGGCGTTGGTCTAACTTATCTCTGTGTGTGTGTGTGTGTCTCTCTCTCTCTCTCTCTCTCTCTCTGCTTGCAGTGGTGGTGACAGCCTTTATCGTGCCCCTGGTTTACCAGAAACACAAAGTCAGTATCCAGGCAATTCCTGTTCTCTGCTCTCCCCATTTCCCCCCAAACTATTCCCCAACAGGAACTGTCACCTTCGAAGCCCTCCATGGCCTCGCCCGCCCCCCCCCCCCCCCCCACCCACCTCCCTACCTCTGTGATCTGCTGAGCCAATATCAACCTGCCCTCCGTGTCCCCCGTCCGGCTCGCCCCACCCTTTGGAACTTCATCCCGCATTCCCTTCGCCTCCTCTGCCTCCTTCAAGGCCCGTCTCAAGACCCTCCTCTTCCATCACACCTTCGGTCACCCTCCGACCCCCACCCTGCCTGCCCTCCGCCCCTCCTGATTATAACCAGCAGCTCGGGTCCAAATCCCTGACTGTCCAGCGCCTTGGGACGTTCTCCCGATGGGAAAGGTGCCGTGTAAATGTCATGTGGTGTGGTTGTTGCCGTCCCTGCACCTTCCCTCACCTCTTTCAAGGTCTGTTTCAAGACCCCGCGCTTTGACCGCACCTTCGGGCTCCTTCCCCCTCCCCGCACTGGCTCCCACCCAGCGCGGATGACAAGCCAGGACTGCTAAGCGCCTTAGGACGCCCTCTAGACGGGAAAGGCCGCTGTGTGCAAATGTAAATGTCTTAATTGTTTGCGGCATCTGTTAAAACCCTCTCTTGTTGGTCCGCTTTCCCTGCAGGTGCAGATTGATCAGTACTTGGGTTTGCTCACAGGCCAAATCAACCGTATCAAAGCAAAGTAAGTTGCCACTCAGTCCCCTCACTCACCACCGCTAACGGTGTCACGATGGCGGATCCCAGAGACGCAGTTTGCAGCCACAATGCCATGTAACCTCAACAGCAACGCAATCACTTCCAGAACGCAAGTAGAGTAGAAAGACCATTCGGTGCAATGTCGCCAACAGTGCAGCCACTGCAAGAGCCGCAGCGGCAGTGCAACCCAGCAGCAACGCAGTTGCAATGATAACGGCAATAACAACTTGCATTTACACAGCGCCCCTCACGCAGGGTAGCGTCTCAGAGAGCATGACTCCGAGCCGGGGAGGGAGGGGGGTTGGGGGGGAGATGGCTGAAGGCACGGTTGAAGAGAACATCGATTGGATGAATGGCCAGTATTTTTTTTTTTAGCCTCAATGTGTTTGTGGATATGGGTGAGGGAGAAATATCCACCTATTGAAAGTGCAGTATATGCGGTATTGAGTGCAAGAGCGCATTGGGTGTGCATTGCTAACAAAGTGGTACAAAGCAGTCCTGTAGCTCAGTGGGTAGAGCAATATATCGCAAGCAAGAGAGACCTGGGTTCATTCCCGAGCAGGGTGCAACTTTGGGCAAGTTTCCTTACTCCACGCACACACGCACACACACATACGCCTCTGTTTACACAGCAGTAAGTAGGAACCCGGTTGTTAGTCGATTGGTGGATCGCTTTCCCGGGGGTAATAATCCCTTCAAAGAATAAATAATTTGGTCGCTCAATCCACGACTGCCTGTGGGACACTGCAATTGGCTGCCGCGTTTCGCCCACAAAATGTACAGTCACTACGCTTTACCGTATATCCCGTGCAGCGCTTTTAGAGATGTCTCAAAAGACGTGATAAGGCGCTGTATCAAACTCGTGTTAGTAGTAAAGGGCAGGAGCAACTTTCATGCAAATTTTCCTTTCCTTGTCTCGGCAGAATCCAGGCAAAATTCCCGAGCACCAAAGCTGCGGCACAGTAGGGGGACGGGGCGGAGCGGGGCAAGGCGGGGCAGGGGCGAGGCAGAGAGAGAGGACCCCACAATCACATTGAGGATCGAGTCACACACAGAGATGCAAGTGAGACATCAGTGTGAAAGTCTGAAGCCATCCCGCGGTGAACAGAACTGCGGAGAACACACGACTTGCCTCTCGCTACGTGAAGCCATCTTGTCTCTTGTGCAAATAAAGCTCGTTTATCTGGACTACCAGCCCCCTCCTCTCCCCTCTTACCCCAACCCCACCTGCCCCCCCCACACACACACACACACACCACACGCGCACACACACCTACACAGCCACGCACATACCCATACTTTGAATTCCACCTCGCCTTATGCTGTAAGACGGCATTCAGCCCTCTCAGACTGTTCCGCCGTCTTAAAGAGCTATCCCATTTACCTCCCTTTTCCTTATAAAAGATTTTCCAGGGTGGTACCAGGGTATGAGGGACTTCAGTTATGCGGAGAGACGAGAGAGAAGCTGGGATTTTTCTCCTTAGAGCAGAGAAGGTTCGGGGGGAGATTTGATAGAGATGTTCAAAATCATAAGAGGTTTTGATAGAGTAGATCAGGAGAAACTGTTTCCACTGGTGAGTGGACAGTAACCAGGGCACGTAGGTTTAAGAAAATTATCAAACCAACCAGAGGGGAGATGGGGAGAATTTTTTTTTTTACCCAGAGAGCTGTTACGGTCCGGAATGCATGGCCTGAACGGGTGATGGAAGCAGATTCGATCGTAGCCCTCAAAAGGGTGTTGGATGTGTACTTGGAAAGGGAAAGCGTGGGGAGTGGGACGAGTTGGCGGCTCTTTCAAAGAGCGAACACAGGCACGATGGGCCGAATGGCCTCCTTCTGCACTGTAATGTTCTATAATTCAAAACCCCTTATCAGGGCAGTGAGTTCCAGATTCCCAGCACCCCGCCTGACGATATTTTCTGATGTCACTTGATCTCAGGGGGATGAAAAGGCAACGCGAGTGAAATCTCTGGGATGATGCCCATTTTAATCCACTCCCACCTCCCAGTAAGTGTGGGCGCTCGCTCTGATGTCACACGGCAGGATAATGATCCTAATCCAGATTCAATCCTATTTATCTGTTCACAAAAGACTTAAATGTGGATTAGAACCAAGGTAACATCAGGTATTAAGTGCACTTAAAACAAAACACAGCATTGAATGTGTTTGTGGGTCACTGCTGTGGTCAATTGGCTGCCCACAAAATATACAGTCAATTTCACCTCACAGGATATTCTGTGAAGCGCTTTGAGACGTCGCGAAGACGCGATCAGGCGCTGTATCAAACGCAAGGATTATTATTCCTAGAATTAATTTGAAAACTCAACTCTTTTCTAACCGTGTCTTTGGATCTTTAACCGCCTCCTAAAGAACTGCCGATCGGACAGTCCTGTCAGTTTAACATCTCAGGCGCAGGACAGCAGCTCTGTGAAACATTCCCTATGATGGAAAGAAGATACTCTCTACAGACGCAGCTCTATCTGGCACATGTTACGGAGGAGGGAAGAACTGTTTATAGCAACACCGAGATACTTTGGTGGGTTCATTCCATTAAGGCCAGTGAGTTGGGGATCTGCCGAGCCAGGAGCTGAGGCTGATCACATATTCCGTGGGTCATGTCCGTCCAAACTTTCCCAGCGCCTGCGACAGATAGCTTCAGAGCGAATCTGCAGATGCTGGAACACCCCCTACTGACCACTCCTGCAATGCTATCCCCACATCATTAACCTTCAGGACCCATTAATTACTGACTGGTCTGTTCTCCTCGTGCACATGGTACACACGGGTTTCGGATCAAAGTTTTGGATCCGAGCTGGGGCTCGGGATCGGGGAGGGTGCTGAGTTGGGGGGGGGGGGAAGGAGGGCGACTGAAGGGCACGGTCGAAGAGGAGGGTCTTGAGACAGGTCTTGAAGGAGGCGAGGGAGGGGGTCCGAGGCAGAGGGACTGCGAGGCGGTCGGGGCAAAGTGGCAGAATCCTATCCAATTTCTGTTCACTCGCCTGCGATACTGTGGCACTGGCTGCATCGTCTTCTTTTGTGAAGCATAGATGTATTTGAAGGGAAGCTAGAAAGGTACACGAGGGAGGAAAGAATAGAAGCTGTTGTTGTTGTTGTTGTTGTTGTAGACAGCTGCAGATTGGGACTCCTGCACCCAGACCCCTGAGACTCACCAGGAGGCAATGAATGAGTCCTGCAGCTCAGCGGTTAGACCGCTCGCCTCGCAGGCGAGAGGACCCGGGTTCGGTTCCCGGCAGGGTGAAACATTGCACAAGTTTCCTTACTCCACACACACGCGCGTGCGCACACGCACACACACACGCACACGCACACGCTTCAGTTACCAGCACCGAGTAGGCACCCGGTTGTCCGTTGATCGACGGATCACTTTCTGGGGGTAATAATCCTCTCTGAAAAAATTTGGTCACTCCATCCACAGCTGTTTGCGGGGACGCTGCTGTGCACAATTGGCTGCCGTGTTTCACCCACAAAATGTACTGTCATTTCACTTTGCAGTATTTCCTGTGAAGCGCTTTGAGACGTCTCAACAACGTGATAGGGTGCTACATCAAATGCAAGGATTATTATTATTATTATTATTATTATTATTATTATTATTATTCCACTGCGTCCAGCACTCACTGCCTCTGGCCACGGGGTGGCACGATTTACACTTAATTGACAAAAACACCGCACAAATAGATCAAACAGAGAAGAAATTTCTTCGTGCAGAGAGCAGTGGGAACGTGGAACAGACTCCCACAGGGGAGTTGTGGAGGCAAATAGCACAGATGTATTTAAGGGGAAGCTCGAGAGGTACATGAGGGAGAAAGGAATAGAAGGCTCTGCTTGAAGGCTTCGTTGAGGAAGGGCAGGAGGAGGCTCATGTGGAGCATAAACGCCGGCACAGACCGGTCGGGCCGAATGGCCTGTTTCTGTGCTGTATATTCTGATGGTTTCTAATGTATTTCATTTGCCAGTCAGAGGTACTGATATAGAGCAGCATCACTGTGCCCCTTTACGCATGAAACCTCAGGACGTAAGATTATGTATTTTAGGAACGTTCAGATGGTTGGCTGATCCGGGCGTAATAATCTCTCCAAAAAAATAATAATAATTCAGTCGCCCAACCCACGACTGTTTGTGGGGACGCTGCTGTACTCAATTGGCCGCCGCGTTTCGTTCACAAAGTACACAGTGAATTCCCGTGAAGCGATTTGAGGCGTCTCGAAGACGTGATAAGGCGCTGTATCAAACGCGAAGGTTATTATTATTATTACGGTAATGAATCCGATCGCCCGCACAGTGAGAAAGGGCAGTGGGGACCAGGCGGTGCACGTGAATATTTTGCTGTTGTTGTTGGCTCAGGCCCACCTCTCCACTACGATGTGAAGCCGCTCGTTACACTGCTGATGGCCTCGCTGGGACCTGAGCTGTTTCCGGAGGCAAACTTGCTCGGTCTCTAAGGCGGCCTCTTTTCTGTTTCACGGCGGTTGCAGTGCGCGGAAGGAAATTTATATCAAGTGCACTACAGACGTTTCTGTAACAGGAAACGTGCCCAGATACAATCTCATCGCAGATCACAACAACAGTGAGCAACACAGCAACCAGCTACACACACACACAAACACAAACACACACACACACACACACACACACAGAGCACGGAACACCTCAGCATTTCCAATCGCACGGTTTGGATTTGCATCGAACAACAATCCATGCGTCTGTTCCTATCACGTCAATCGTGGTGTCTCACAGAGAGTAACCCTCACAACACTCCGTTCACAATCTGAGTAATACTCCACGGTTTTTCAGCAATCGGGTTGAGGTGACTCAAAGCCGACGTCAGTGTCTGATAAACCTCAGGCAGGCATAAGTGCTGGAAGAACGCAGACAGCAGCCAGAGAAGCGACACTCACTTGCGAGCAGGTCAGAGCACATGCTGTGAGGGACTATACATTGGCTTAACGTGATGTGTGGGGTGAATGCTCGCCGGAGTTTTGAAAGCTCCGATGTTCCCTGCTCCCGGGAGATTCTCCTGACACAGGAAGGGTCCAACGCTGGAATGAAAATAACTTGTGCTTTTTGCAGGACCTTATCAAGCTGTAACGTCGCAGGCTGTTTGACGGTAGTTACCGGGAAGCGCAGCGACTGCTTCAGTGGACGAACAGACAACCATTCTGTGCTCAACAAGGTCCATCAGTGGCCCTGCCTTCAGCCACTGCGCCCCCTAATCGGTGGAACTCCCTGCCTCAATTCCTCCAGCTCAACCCTAATTTTATCTGTTGCCACCTGTCCTTTTGACAGGCAAATTGGACCTCGGTGGTTGGAGCATTCGCCTCACAAGCGAGAGACCTGGGTTCGATTCCCGGCAACCTTGGCCAAGTTTCCTTACTCCACACACGTGCCTGATCATAATCCCTCCAGAAAAAAAGAAGCAATAATAATTTGGTCACTTCGATCCACGACCGTTTGTGGGGAGGTTACGCCGCCGTGCGCGATTGGCTGCTGCGTTTCACCCGCAAATGTACGGTCAATTCACTTTCCAGTACACCCTGTGAAGCGCTTCGAGGCGTCTGGAAGATGTGAAAAAGGGCTCCGTTAAAGGCAAGGATTGCATTATTATCTCCAACAGTGTCGCGCTCCTGCAGGACTGGGTTGCAATGTTGGCCTCGACTGTGACCTCAAATTCTCTTTGGGGTTTCAACCCACTTCAACCTTCTGACAGGCAACGCCAGAGTCCTACAGCAAAGCTGAGCTGAGGCCATGTTTGTTAGCTGGTCTGACTGTTACTGCGGTCCTGGGACACTTGATATCACTAAAGTCGATCAGTATAAAAATACTATATATATATATAGAGTGGCTTTTAGTGATTTTGAGTTTGCAAAAAGACTCTTATTGTCCCAATCCTTGGATCTCTCGCCCACGAAATACACAGTCGGTTCACTTTACAGTATATCCTGTGAAGCGCTTTGAGATGTGATGAGGCGCTGTATCAAATGAAAGGATTATTATTATTATTTATGGAGGAAGGAAACAAGTCGCCATTAATCTGACCAGTTCAGTGTCTGTATATCCCACCACTCTCTGTCTCTTTCTCCACAATATATATTTCTCCCTTTCCTTGCTCCTGTTGTTTTCCTTGTGCTCCTGATTCTCATTCAGGACTCTAATAATAGTAGACATTA